GCCACCCGGCACCGGCATCGCCCCATCCTCCGGCTGATGATGCGCTGGAGGTAGCCCAGGGGCAGAAGAGCTGGAAGCTCTTGCAAACCAGGGCAGCACCCAAAACCTCGCATCCTACTACTCAGCCTACACCGAAGCTGCCTCCAGCCTCCACTTGCGCCAGCGAATGGGGACCTCTGAGCTCCTGAGGTCCCATGTCCCCGACCCCGATGTCCTAAGGGCCACTGGGGCTGCCAGAGCTGGCACAGCATGGGCGATCCCCTCCATCCATGCAAGGTGCTCCTGAGGTTTCTCGCCCACGTGAAGAGCAGGGACTGACTCCAAAGCCAAACCCCAAAACCGCTCCAGGACATACGGAGGGAAAAAGCACGTGGAGGACAAATTGCTCCTGGAAGTGTGAAAAGGCAGCGGGAGAATTAAACTGAAGGATGTTAAAGATAAGCGATAGAGGGAGAGCTTGGTAAGCAGTGGTGAAAAGGCATCCCAAAGAACAACCTGCATAAATAAATTAATCTCTCCAGTGTCCCCAAGGATATCCAGTGTCCCTGCTGCCTTCAGGACTGCAGCAACCCCAAGCAGCAGAGGACCTTCCCAAGATGCAAGAGAAGAAAACAAGACGGGGACATTGCTGCCACGGGGGAAGGGACCGGAGAACGAGCTGTCCTCCTTGCAGCCCCGCAAGGTACTGGGCTGCTCTCACGGCCGTGCCAGCGCACAGCCACCAGCACCCGTTGCCTGCGCTCCAGCAGCGCTCCCCTCTGACCCGCCACGCGCTATTCCCCGGTGTCCCTCGGTGGAAATGTCACCCGACGGCAAAGCCCCGGAGGAGTCCGACTCGTCCGGGAGTCTAAACCCTGCTCCTGAAAGCTCCCGTCCCTCCGACCTCCCCACGGGTCCGGGCTGGGGAACGCCTCTCCGGTGCTGCCACGACCCGCCCACGGGTGATGCTACACCCAACGGGGTCACCTACGGGTGGCTGCGGAGGCAGGCTTGGGGTCTACGAGAAAGCTTTTAGCCAGCAGCTGAGCTACCGTACCACCTAACTGCAGGCAGCTTGCACGTCAACGCACGGCAGTCTTCGTACACGAGTAACTAATAGAAGATACAAAATACCCGAGCCGTGGTATTTTGCCCCAGAATACCCCAGCCCCAACGCATCCCTGGAGGGATTTTTAGCTTTGCATGCAGAGCCACAGGGTAACAGTCAGCAGCAGAGGAGCGTAATTCTAAGACTAACACGTGGGACGACCCGCTGATCATGGCTTGCACGGGAGGGCGAAAGGCGGCCTTAGAATATAATCCATTTCAGGCGCTCTTAAATCTCCCCAATACAACACAGAGCCCTTTAAGCAAAACTAAACAACTTCCTTTAGCCTAAATAAATATTAAACCTAAGTGATGCATTAATTTACTCCAGTTCACCAAAGGCTAACTCCTACCCAAACTGATCATTATAAAAGAAATCCTATAATCCCTCGCTCCCATTCAGGCTCAAAACATGTAATCCTGTGAATAAATCCAGAAAGAAAGTGTAACAAAATGGGCAATAAAAACTTACAGCATTCACATCTTTTCATCTACCATTAATACTGTAAACACTCACTCGAAGGCCCTTGAGTATGACTAATCTAATGTTTTGGCTCCCAACGCTAATCGGCGAAAGAGCTCGCCTCTCGGTGTAACACCCAGCGAGATCCGCCGCCCCTCCAGCCGCGGCCCAGGACACCTCCACAGCGCCCATCCGCAGCGAATCCTGGCCTCAAATCCCGCAAAATGCTGCAAAATCAGCACGAAATGGAGCAAGTATGGTTCTAATAGCACCAGAGCGCAGAGCTTTTTTTTTATTATTTTATTGCTTTGGAAGCCTGCAAGCTCCAACTGTATAAATGCCAATAACTTCCCAAGTTTTAAGGCTGCTGAAGTAAGAGATCAGATTTTAGCAAGTGCTTTCTAGGCAGGCAGCCAAACTTTTTCTGATTCACTAAAAGCACCAAAGGGAGGGGGAGAGGGAGGGGGCTGGAGGGCTGATTAACTTCAGTTACCGCACAAGCACAAAAAAATGTCTCCCCGCTGCAAAGGGTGCCGTCGCTGCGAGCCCTGCGCAGCCTGTTATTCCTCGGGCTTGAAAAAAAAAACGCACCGGAGAAATACAGCAAACGCCTTCCAACCGCAGGGTAATTTACAGCTGTGGATCCTCTCCTGACGAGGAGGCTGCTCCGCCGAGGGGAGGCTCTGCTGGTGTTAGGTTCGAGCTGCGATTTTCAGAGGGGATGAGAAAAAAAATGTGACCGGGGATTTTTTTGAGGGGTGGGGGAGCAGGGAATGGGGCCGCTTTGGGTTTTAGCTTGGCCGGAGGGATGGAGACCCCTCCAAGGCTGCGGCTGTGCTCATCCAGGACCATCCCTCGCTGCTGTCGGGTACCTGCGAGAGGGTGAGCAGGTGCAATCCCGGCCAAAGCACGGCGCGGGGCC